ATGACGCCAGGTGGGTATGGAAGTTTTTATTAAACTTTCGATAAAGATGTATTTTTATTCGAGTTACTGCTCGACTCCTTCAGAAATGTAATCCTTTCGTATGCTGGAGCTTTACGACATGGATTAATTCCAAATTTGCTTGCTGAAGGCAAAGGTAGGTACTTCCTAGGCAGCTGCATTTTGTATTCTTTAGTAGGCCATCCAACACTAGCTGGATGTGAAGATACTCACAGGAGAGTAAAAAAAGTTGTGCCCTCGTTTCGAGTTTTTTTTTTTATTTCTTTAGGTGCAAGGTACAACTGCCGTGATGCGGTTTGGTTCTGGTTGTACTCGATTGAGCGTTACGTAAGAGAAGCTCCAAAAGGCCATGAAATCCTTTACTATCCAGTCAGACGAATTTATCCCCACGATGATACGGTGTTCGGAGAGGATCACAGGGTTAATGATTACAATGCTTATAAGGCTATGCTATTTGTTCATCGTTAGTTGAATATTTTCAAGAGTGGTCGAATTCAGGAAGAACCACTGATCAATGTGATTGTTGAAGCTTTACAACGACATTTTTCTGGAATCGATTTCAGAGAACGAAATGCAGGGCCTGAAATCGATGAGCATATGAGAGACGAAGGTTAGTATTTGGGTTTTCACTTTCTTTTTCAAAAACTGGCTTTGAGAGGACCCCTCCCAGAAAAGCTAATCGAATCCCAAGACTTGAACCTGACCTAGAATGCTTTTGGTTGTCTTCTATTTTGACTATAAACGTCCTCAGTTGTTTTACTTAAGGATTCAATGTCAAAGTTTTCGTGGACCGTGCCACTGGCTTCATTCATGGAGGAAATCGATGGAATTGTGGGACATGGATGGACAAGATGGGAAGCAGTGACAAGGTGATTCTGACTCTAAGCGTTTTCTTCATTAAATTAAGGTTCAATACTTCCTGCCTTTCTCATAAATATAACATCACTGATTAGCACGAGCTTCCCCTACTAATTACGTCATCTGGCTGGCTTTTTGCAGGGCCACTCAGGTTTCTCAATCCCAGATTTCAGTCAAAGGCATGGCACATCCGAAAACTGTTGGTTGACGTTGAGATTCTTTCCACCGAGTGTTGTTTGCGTCAAAGTAGTTCCGAGGTGACCCAAAGCAGTAGTACCTCATATTTTAAGCTGATGAGACTTTTAAAGCACGCCATGGACCAGATTCCCACGTGGAATCGCTGTTATATTTGAATTGCAGTTCCACTTGCTTACGCGCCCTGACTCAAGGAAGCAGTCCATATTACAGTTCTACTTTTTCTTTGACTGCTATTTCTAAATTCCTAGAATTATTCAGGCCGGCAATCGAGGAGAACCAGCGACTCCCCGTGACGGAGCAGCCGTTGAAATACAAGCGTTAGCCTATAAGATACTGCAGTCGATGTCAGAATGGGTCAATGCTGGCTTCATAGACAAGTCAGGAGTCTCCTGTGGTCAGTTTTTAGGGTTACTTGGATCATAGCTTTAGCAGGCTGTGAACGTTTTATAATTACAGTTAGACTTATGGTAATTTTTAAAAAGACGATGAAATCCGTCAGGACCAGAATTCGCCTTGTTTGCGCGAAGAGAATAGAGGGTATGGCTTACTGAGGGGTGGGATTTAATGGTCTTCTTAGAATTTCAAGCTCTTCTTTTCATACATTAGACTCTTTGCGAAGTAATGTTGGCTATTATGTTAATGTGTCATAGGATACTGATTCATCTAATACACTGCGGTGCACAAGAGATCGTACCCTATGAAAACTAGTCTTAGAGAGAGCCCAAAGTTTTTATTGCTTTTGCTAACAATATATGATTAGAATGAAAAAAAGATTTTTTGTGGTGTCTAATTGACTGTACAACTTCTTTCAAGTTACTAGCAACAACTTTACCCTTTTTAAGCCAGTGCATTTTAGTTTGGACGATATGCATAGTCAACTAAAAAAAAGAACACCCGAAACCCGCTCAAACCTATTTCTAGTGCAAAATTATCTAATAATGGGTGCAGTTTTCCTTTCTCCGAATAAGCTCGAAGATTCGATCAGGCATCGAATCGCGGAGCTTCTTCAAAGAACAGGCGACAGATTTCCACACCATAGTTATAGCTCTTCTCAACGATTTAACATTGTCATACACTTCACCATTTGCATAAATCTTACGCACTAATACACCCCGGATATTTCCGATGGTGTTTAGGTCCGGGCTGCGTGCCGGCCATGACAATATCGGGATGTTATTGGACTAGACAGATTACTTCGCGTAGCGTAAATCGAAGCGTTGTCTTGCATAAAGAAGGAGTTCTTGAGTAGTTGTTCTTTTCGTAGATCGCGCCAATACGAGTGGTTTCCATCTAGCCCATCTCCGTTGGATTTTTTCTCGTCAGAAAAATAACCTAAAAAAGAGAAAGATAGAAAACTGAATTTTCCTGTAAAGCTAAGAAAGTTTCAAAAACACACCTTCGTCCAATTTATGTTCATCTCATTCCTAGCGAAGAGGACTCATTTCTCTCGAATGACTCGATGCCGTGGTGCAGGCTGAGAAGCTATGTGGTCCGATGGCTCCAGAGCGTGAGCAACAGTCTAGACCGATGGCTCCAGAGCGTGAGCAACAGTCTAGAACGTCGCTTGTCGCGTTCAAAAGGAGTTGATTTTTGTTCTGGCTTATTCTTCGGAACACTTGTTGATTGCTTCTTTACTAAAAAGAACTAAAACTCGCAACTTTGCTCTCCCAAGGTGAAGAACGCGCCAATTCGAATCCGGTCTTCGTTCAAAAACAAACATGTAGGCATGTGCAACTTCCAGATAATGAGTCAATTACCTCAAATCGTCTAATCTATTGCACACCGCCGAATAATCGATACTGCCAGGCCAAAATTTTCAAAGGCACTGTCAGCTATCGATTATCGTGCCAAAATTATCTGATTTCCTCTACACATA